AAGCTACGAGAATACTTTTTGTGCACAAAAGAAAAAAAAAAACGACTTTATTCAACAATTCGTCTCCTCCGCATCACCCTGTAGCGCCATTTTGGAGAGTATCAGCTGGATGTAAACAACATATGCTGTTCTGTGTCAGCTGCGTCACGCCGGATCTGTTTCCTACGTTGTTGTGATTTGATCTGAACGAAAACAGCGTATCCGTGTGACACAGCTGACACAGAACAGCATGACGCAGAGGAGACGAATTGTTGAATAAAGTCGCTTTTTTTTCTTAATTAATAATCTCCTTAATGAGATCTAGCAGGAAATTTGGGATACCAATGCCCCGTAGTGCACTCCATAGTCTCAGCTAAGCGGGCTCGAGCTTTTGCATCGATTGTGTCCAAGGCTTCATCAGATAGCTACGGCTTCCGACGTGATCTTCTATAGCCTACGATGTCTTTGGCGACTGTGTGGATAGTGTTGCTGATTGTTGCCCATGCAGTCTCGACATCCTCAGAAAGTTCACCCAGCGCTGAGAACTTATTCTCGATGGTGACCTTGTAGTGCTGAGCCATCTCAAGGTTTTCTACCAGCATTTGCACATTGAGTGTTGGCTGTGGCTTATGCTTATATACGGGTCTAAATGGAATTGCAATGGCCTCAATAAGGAGGTGGTGATCACTATTTGCTGGTGCCTCTGCACCACAGAAAACTCTGTAAGATCTGACAATACCGAGTGGTCGTGCAAGGATATGATCCAGTTCCTTCCTAGTGCGGCCATAATTAGATATACATGTAGACCTGTGGATATTTCGTCTTCAAAACCACGTCCCGGTGGCCATTATGCCCTCAGAGGAACATAGAGAAAGAAGACGGCCTGAATTGCCATTTGTAGTACCCACACCAAATGGTCCGACGACATCTTCGAAGCCAGCAGTCCTTGGACCTGGATTCGCATTCATGTCACCAAGAATGAGCAATTCGTCATGTTTTGACACTGACTGTATTGTGGAAGCCAGCTGGTCGTATAAACTGTCCTTTACCGTGACGTCAGCGTCCTCTGTTGGGGCAAGATACAAAAAGCTCCGACATGGAGTGGATAATTATAGTAGAAAGATGGAAAAAAATAAAATTACCCATCAAAAAAGTCAGAAGCTTTCTCTTGCCAGCTCATTTTTTTTCTCTTAGCTTCACCTAAGCAAAGCAGAAAACAAGCAGTAGCCTAAACGATGTAATGCTCTTAGCGGTCTATAGATGTTGTTGAGGCATTTACAATTTGACAGCCTAAAAACAGACTTCAGTCACATGAATGACTATGTAAGGGATAATGTACATCCAGCCGGTTGTTATCTCAGAATAAACACCGACAGGGTGATCAGGACCCCGACGCGAAACGGAGGGGTATTGTATCAGCCTGAAGGGGTTTATTCTGAGATAACAACCGGCTAGAAGTACATTATCTCGCTTATTACATGGCTACTTGCCACATGAGTAAATAATTAGACGCGAAATATTACCGGTTGTTATCGAGGGATAACATACCTCGGAATGTCGCGACTGACCAATCAGAATCAAGTATTCCACAGAGCCGTGTAATACAAATAATTAATTAACGAATTGTACCGTATCCTAACTGCGTGAGTTTAATCAGATTTGTCATAATTATTTTTTACTAAAAAAATATCTGGGGGACCACCCTACGTCTATTTCACTACGCACAACTAAATAAAACAGGCTGGGTGAATTTCTGAAATATAAAGATATATAATAAAAATATAAAGCCCGTTCTAGGACTTGCCACGTACAGCAGCAGATGACTATTATTTTGCTGAACGAACGGAGGATGGTGTCATGGGCTCAGATTTGGTTGACCATCGACAGAAAGGGGCGTGTCATGACCGCCCACAAGGGGAAAATGAATTTTGAAGTCGTTTATCCGTTTTCTACCCATGAACCAAAAAACGAAAATCAAGACAAAATCTATTTTTTTCATTTTTTTGAACAAATGAAAAAAAAAACGACCGTTTTCTCGTTTCTGCTTATTTCATTTCAAATTGAAAAACAAACTATCAAAACGTACACGGACCTATGTGCTATTTACAACTCTCTCACTTTCTCTCTTTGTGTGTGTGTGAGAAGCACAGGGCTGGTGCTGGTGCTGGTGCTGGTGCTCACCTACACACTAAAGCTTTCTGTACATCAAATACACTGCAATGAGATTACTAAGAATGTGAAACTCTCTCATTTTTTTTCACTGTAGGTGAGTGAAAATATAGCTGTAGTAAATTAATTCTTAAGGTCCTTGCACACTGAGTCCGAATTTTTAATTTTTTATATTTTAGCTGTCCTAAAAATTTGCCACGCACAAAAACCTTGCACACTGAGTCTGTTGTGTATTAATTAATCTGTTGCAAAAAAAATTCGCAAAACCATACAAAATGGAGTCTTCAAGCAGTGAGGATGATTTTGTTGTCCTCTCTTCTAGAAAAAAAGGAAAGGAAATATTGGGTCCATCCAATCCTGAGATTGCGTAGAGAGGAAGGAGAGTTCCACCTTTAAGGAGCTACGGGGTTATCCCAAGCGATTCAAAGTTTACTTCAGGATGTCAGTGGCTCTGCTATCAATTGTCATAATCTGTCTTTATATTCCATCTCTTTGTATTCCGCACTTCGTTTATCATACAGTGCTTTGTGCTGTGAGAAGACATGGATCAATTTATCAGACACCATTCTGGATTATGATGTTCGCTTGTACGGTGGCTCTGAATTGTCAAAACACCTCTCAAAATGCTTGCTACGGATGCAAAAAAATAAATAAAATGCAGGAAATTGAACCTGATCCGATTTTTTTTATGATGGATGAAATTTCTGAGGCTGTGTATAAATTTGATTGATACAACATGAGGTCGTATTTACTTTTCAACGTATGAAAATTTCGGAGGAGAATTTTGGATTCACTAACTCAATTACTGGCTAGTGAAATCTAACCAGTATCAAATCAATAGGCTAACAATAAACATTATTTAGTTGCCTAGTATGAAGTGTATTCGCATATGCGAGTGATGTACTCACAGTGTGGAGGGTTGATATTGGCCTTCCCTTATAATGATTTGGAGAAAGCTAACTTCAACTATTTAAATCCAAATAAAAAATCTAAATGTTACCACTGCCTGTAAGGACACACATCATCACAACATCACATTTCCACAGCACCACCCAGTTAATTCAGTGAGATTTAGGTGAGATTTTCAGTAATAAAGTATATTTAATTGGTGTTTATGACAAGAAATGACTGGTCTGTAGAATGGAATCCAAGAAGTCATTGGCATACTTACAGGTACAGTTGTTTCTTTGCTGACGTACTTCCCAACCTGTGTTTTTCCATTAATAAAAATACCATCAGGAGGCTCCAGTGCCAAGGTTTCGATTTCCAAATCATCAACATACAGAGTGACGTCTTCCTCTGTCACTAGAAGACGCAGCTGATGCCATTTTTCATCAAATAGTTTCTGTAAAATACATAAGGCAGAATGCAGATGATGGTGTTTTGTACCATTTACAATTTTTACATTACTACATTACGTTCATATACCATAAATGTGACTTTATAAGGAAGATGAGAACATTTCAGTTAGGGATGCCCCTAATAGTCAACTAACCATTAGTCGACCAGAAGAGGCTTGGTCGACCAAAATTTGATTAGTCACAAAAATCCACATTGGCGAAGTCATGCAAATCGTTAACAGCTTGTCCATTTGGTAATACAATACATCCGGCAGATCATCCAAATGCTCGCCTATCATTCATCGACCTCAAATATGACTTATCATCTGAAATATGTTAGTAGCAGCAACTTTACATGGCCGCTCAAACTAATGTTAACCTCGAGAAATGTGTGCTGTTCAAGTGTTGAAGCTGAACATTCATAAACACATTTCATTACACCAAATACACAAAATAATGTTCTTTTTAGCAGCATCATATGACCCCTTTAAAATACTCCGTCATTTTTGCTCATACAGATAAGAGTAATACATCTTTCAAATATGTAAAGACTTTACGTTTATTTGTGTGCACTCACAATAAAAACATGGCACTTTTGTAAAATAATGAAAGCAAAGATGATGCGCTTTCTGCTGTCTCGGTCTGTGAATTTGAGCGCGAAACTCCAAAACTCTATGTATACTTGCCTCACAGACATAAAAATATATATATATATATCTATAGAGAGTGAAATGTCCACTTTCAAATAAACCAATTCAAATGGAAAACAAATATTCTCAGATTATGTAATCCGTAACATGCATACAGGCGTGTACCACTACTGCGGAGATGTCGAGTCAGTGTCGCCGACTTAGTCTCTTAAACCGAAAACAAAAAGGAATTAATTAAAAAGAATTATTAAAATGCTAATGCAGCCTCCTTACTGTTTTTCCCTTACACATTCTCAATCATTTACTTCTGCCTGTGTGCCGTGGCAAGATTTATGCATGCGCTTGAGCGCTTAATAGGCAATCTAAGGTGCATTATTATGATTTAAGTGGTTTATTAATAAATGTATGATTAGTCGACTAATGCTTCAAATGAACGACTACTAGTCAACCAGACAAAATCTTTAGTTGAGGGCAGCCCTAATTTCAGTAAACTTATTCTGAAAAAAAATTGTGAATTCATGTTTTTCATTTTTCGTTAAATAATAAAACCTACTAGTGCTCTGTGTCGCTCAACTTAAGCGTTCTCGTTATTTAACTACTGAAGGATCTTTATATAAGTGTGAATGTGTGTTAAACAGAAAATATCAAGTTTATAATGTATAAAATTCCATTGAGTATTTCGTCCAAATTCCACCAACGTTTTAATCCAAATGGTGACTGGTAAGCCTGGTATATACTTGGTGTATACTCCAATATACTTGGCTGCCAAGGGCCTGGAGTCCACTGTTAAAGGATTTTCTGTATGAAGTTTGTCTGAAATTGTTGTATCCCTGCTGAAACCAGTTTCGGCACACATGAATTTCCAGACTGGATTAGTGCTGATATAGCTGGTGGACTGAAACTTCAAGCAGCATGGTCTTTTTGGTAAAGCTAGTGAAGCAGAACCATTAAGACAGCAGCACATCAAATGAGGATCCCAAGCATCCGGAACACAAAATTCAGTATGCAGGTGACAAACCATGCTGATCTTTTCAGCATGGATTTTTTTTAGGTGTATTTTGTGGAAATTTTAACAGATGGCGAATGAACTAACAGAACTGACTAATTAGGACTGCGAGTTCATGAATTGTTTCAGGGTTCTTCTGTCAAGCTGTGTATTTACCTTAGCAGGTGGTTTAGTGAAGACCACAGTTTGAGTTCCGCTTGGTGTGCTGCTTGTGGTGGTGGTGAACATCACTGTTCTGTCCAGACCATTCAGAGTAACAGCCATTTGAGGCTTTTCATCCTTAGTCTGTATCCGCCATAGATCCCACTCCTCCATAACCACGGAGCCTTTGTACTTCAGCGTGGCCACAAAAACATAGGATGGTGGAAGTCCGCCTGGAAATAACATCCTACGGACATTAAGATGAAGACACTGTTTCACTTCGAACAGAGTATACTTTCTAGAACAGAGGAGCTTGATACCAAAAGTAATTTTACCTGGTGCTCTCACTCAGGTCAACTCGGGATGTCACCTGGTAGGCTTTGCTGCCATAAAAAGATCCTTGTGTCTTTTGAGCTTTTTTAGCCAAGTTGAGATGGAGGAGTATGTCAAATCCTTTCTCATCTCGAGAATTGATTGGAATCTTTGCTGGACATACAGTCTCTATAGTACATTGAATGGAGAAAACCAGATAAACTGCCACACAGCAACAAATAATGCATGGATCTAAATTAAGCTAACTAAGCACTACCCTATCATTGTCCTGCCTTTAATGAGCTTTAATATTAATATCACAGCAATATTTGCAATTTATGGTGAGAAAAATGGCTGGAAAGGGTTAAATATTTATGGAATGTAGTGGTTTATTTTATTTGGCTTGGAGACTAGTCTAAAAAATCGTAGGAAGACCTTGGCATGGAACACTGGACATTGTGCAAATATGCAGTCCAACTAAAGAATGTCCCCGCCATTGCAAATACCAGACAAGAGATGACCTCTACTATCATAAAGTGCCTTAATCATTAACTTTTCCAGTGTCCAGAAAACTTTCTATGATGAGCTTCAGGAGTCTTAGCAAAGTTTTATGGAGGGCAGTTTTTCCAACCTAATGGCTGTATTGCACTCCAGTTTTTATTTTCGCTTTTTAACAAGTCTGCGTGGAGTTGTTGCTGAGTAATCTATTGTTAGAACAGAAAAGCACCTTGAGAAATATGCTTTCTCCCCTTTTCAAGACTTGTCAATGATCAGTTCTGGCATTTGATCACTTCTTTTCCACCATTGTTACGCTTAATATTGTGCTACTTCTGCTTTTCAACAGACTTAACTGCAAATCCAATCCATACCTGACAGTAATGAAATAATTTTGGTTGGAGGGAACTATATAAACTTGACATTTGCATCTGCCAACATCTCAGAATTACTGGCCTTTTGCAGAACTTTCAAACCATTGAACTGGCTTGTTTGTAAGCTTGCTGGAAATTGATGTCACAATCTTTGAAACACGCTCAGCAATGCATGATCCTGATTTCACACTTTTGGACAATTTACAGCCCCGTTGTTGAACTCAGAACACCTGGATGTTGTAGGATATAAATCAAACTGTGATCCGTGCATTGAGGTGAGAGGCACCAAATTATGCATGCAACTCAAACACGGAGATGCCATAAACCTGTCTCCACTGGTACATGGATGGCATGGTAAAGCAAAAAAGTCCTGCTCCCCTGTGGAAGCTCAAGGCCATAAAACAGTGTCGTTTCATTTTGACACGTGTGAAAAATATTACACAAATGAATTTGAAAATGTATCAACTGAAATATGAAAGCTTAGAGACATGGAGGAATAATACATCAAGGCTTACCTTCACACAGCTTCTGCCTAATAACTTCACGGATCTTTGCAATAGCTTTATAGTCTTCCACAGAAAAAACATAGGTTGAGGATGGTTTGTTGGCAATGGCCCTGAGCTCTGCCTCCTCGGTCTCAGAACCGACACCAATTGCGAAGAGAATTATCCCCTTTTTCCTCGCAGCTTCTGCAGCTGCCAGCACTTCATCTTGTGACTTCCCGTCCGTCAGAACCACAGCGATTTTTGCAATGCCATTCGGACCTCTCTCAGACAAGGCGAAGAGTTTGTCGTTGGCAAACTTGATAGCCTTCCCTGTGTTCGTGTTCCCACCCATGTATTCTATGGATTCCATGGCCTTGATGAGGTCACTACTTGAGAAATGCTTTCCCAGGGGTATATGCAAGAAGGGGTCGTCGCTATATTGCACCACCCCAACCTGGGTGAACTTCTGACCGATGTTGAAGCTCATGGTGATATTTACCAGCCACCGTTTGACAATCTCAAAGTTTATGTCATCCACACTCCATGATCCATCGAGTATGAATACTAAATCACTTGGCGCTGTCCTACAACCTGAAATTGAGGAACGAAGACGAGATTTTGTACTGCATGAGTTGACCATTTGACCTTCTCACACTACAAGGCACAGTTTAGACACTTGACTCCAAAAATTACATTTTCAATCAAATTATTGTGTTCCTAATTGGATGACCAAAATGGTCTAAAGGAGTTGCAGAAATTGTTGCATTTGCTCTGTATTAAGACAGCCACAATGAACACTGCATCATTAGGTGATGTTATCTGAGTCAATAGTCTTCATGCAACATACACTAATGAAGATGAGAGAAGCGCGCTTACTTAATCTCATGTCCTCATCTTGTGCTGTGCTAAACAAGTGAAGGAGCATGAAGTAAAGACACCAAAACACAAAATGCATGGATCTCATTTTGCAACCCATGTTCCTGAAGTACCAAGCTCCAGTTTGTCACCTGAAGAGAAATGAAGATAAGACATGCATTTCTTAGATGTCTTCACATGAAAATGCCATTGGATTTTGCTGATGTTTAGTTTTTATAGTTTTGTTAAATGAATGACATGCTTTTTGTAATCAATGTAAACATCTCAACCCAAACAGTTGAGCTGCAGTTTTATTGCATTTGTTGCGCACAGGATACAATGCGGTTAATTCGGTCCATGCTAACAAAGATGGATGTGCATTTCTAGGTTTGGATATGAAAACCGAAAAATGGAAATGAAGGTTGTGTGCACCCTTTTTGTATAACTTGAATGAAAAACAGGCATATTGTACAATACTTCTCTATCATTTGTACATCTAAATTCAGTTAATGACATAATTGTCCAATTAACTAAATATTCAGGATCCTATACAAGTTAAGCTGAATAAGCTGCATTTGTGGCATAATTTTGATTACCAGAAAAAAAAATCATCCTGTGCTTATTTCCTTAAAGCAAAACTTGAGCTCACAGTGAGGCACTTGCAATGGATTTGAAGCATTTAAAAGCAGAAATGTGAAGTTTATACTTTTATTAAAGCACTTTCATTCATTGTTCTGTCAAAACATATTTACTTGAGATGTAAGGTTCTTGTCATTTCTATGGTCAGTCTACGATTTTAGGCGATGTGTTGTCATGGCAGCAAAGTTTTAAAAATGCATATAACGTTACATAGAACACAGGATAGTAACTGATTTTTTCACGCTAAAATCATGTTAATATGCATATTGTGGCTATACTTTTGAAATGGTAACCAACATAATGCCACAAGTGCTCTTAATTGAGCTTTACTTATACTGAACTCAATATATTCCTGTTGTGTTTTTTTAGCAATCTCACCAAGTAGAATCATGTCACGTTTTGAAATAGTTCTTAATCTAACTCTGGCTCTTGTTGGAAACTGTGTGCTGTTTCCAGAAAGAGAAAGAACTGCAGACATTATAAAAAACACCATAATAAATGAAGACCAGATATACTCCCTTTGGAAGGGGTGGGGGTGTTTTTTGGCCTACTGATTGCTGCGGTCAAACAAAGATTCCCAATGCAAGTTACCATCCTCACCAGCTGAGAGATCTGAGCATGAATGGAACACGAGTAAAACTTTTATACATCCTTCAACCATGGCAAGTTATATGACTGGGGTTTCCAATCTTTGACCAGGAGGTGTATCATAAGACAGCCATGGTGGAACTAGCCCTCGCTGTAGTGCTTTGCAAAGCCCAGCACAAGGGGAGGTATATGGAACGCGCAACTTTAGACCAAAAAAAAAAAAAAAAGGACAGTGCAGAACGAACTTGGTAATGCACCATTACTTTCGTGGAATTAATGACTACAAGTCCTGCACAAAAACTGGAAAGACATGTGTGTCTGCCAGCCTGTACCTCTAGCCATATGGCTTTTCTCTGCACCATGACCTTCTCATTGACCTTGGAAGTTATTGGGGACCTCCAAACAGTTTATGGTTCCAGTCCCAGGTCAAGATGAAGGAGACTTTGGAACGGTAATGTAGCTGGAATGCGACGTGTTTAAACATTCTCCACTATGAAAAGTAATTGCCCCCTTCAATTTAGCCAAATGTATCCTCAGCAAGTATCTTCCAAAACATGACATTTAAATCTCAGTGGAATTTCAGTGTGAGTAATTAATTGTGTTTGTAGTGATACTTGTTTAAGAGTTATTCCACGTCGATGGGTTTTGTCCAACTGGATGTGGGAGGCAGGAAACCCTTGTTGAACAGCTGATTCCTCCCTGTCCTCCAGATGAGGTATCGTATCCTAAGCGAGAAGACTGCCAAATATGTATGCTTTATTTAGTCAGTTTCTCAGGAAAGGCATTTTTCGTGTAGCTCTAATTTTCGCGGCACGTCTGTAGTTATTCTTGATTTATTGTGTATGGCTTGTCTTGGATCAGTTATCTCCATGTTTTCTAACTGGCAGCCATTGTCTTAGTAAAACCATTCTGCCTGTTTTCCATTGCACAGCTATAAATGTGCTATTTTAATGCAGTGCTTTTCGATACCAAAATCAACAACTGCTGTAAGGCATGTTCAATTAGTTTGCCAACATGAGGGGAAAATAAATGGGGGGCCAAGTTCCTCAGGCTCCAATGAAATGCCAAAACATTAAATCAGAGAGACCACTAAAAATTGTTTCACATAATCAAGACCGTAAAGGCAACAGTCTACAGAGGACAGAGCTGTTACAAGGGAGTTTCCACCAAGTTACGTACATGATCAACATGCATGTCTTACTCACAAATGGTTTGTTGGAGAATCTCCCTTTTGATGCTCTTCCAGCTCTTCCGTGCAGCCTTTTTTAATCACCGCTTGTTACCCAAACAAGGGAACACAACTCTTAGGAGTTAAAGAAGACTTCGTTGTTCCTTCAGTTAGACTGAATAACTTGTCTGCACATTTACCCCTGGACCGGCTGCTGGACAAAGCCCTGTTAAATAATTCCATTCATTCCTCACTCGTGACAGTGGCACATGTCAGGAACTGATAACCATTGCTAATGAATTCACCATGCAGGTTGTCTGCATGAACGAAGATTTGCAGACAAAAAAGGACAAAGCATGTGAGATTCTATGCACGTATAGTTTTCTCTCGCATCTTTTTACATGTTCTCAAAATGGAACGCATCAACCCAACCCTCAACAGACAACAGCACATCACCATCAAATAAAAAATGCCATTTTCAAGAAGCCCTGGAAGAATTTCAAACCAGCATTTTTTTTTTTTTTTTTACAATGACCTCATCTGTTGGGGTAGCCGTAAGATAATGAGATGTGAAACAGTATCTTCTGCGTGCTGTTTGCAGCCAAAGGAAAAAGTGCAAATAACACAACAGTCAAGAGAATCAATGCATCATAACGGTTAAAGAGAGAAAAGACAAAGATTTACCAGAGTTTGATGTGCACGGAGCTGGACCCTTATTGAATAAATACCCCCTCACTCACACTGTCTGGTGTCTCATGGTCAGGGCTGTGCAGAGCGCAGGGTTGGAGGAGGTGGGTTTGAGGAGACTGCAGAGTTGCAGATGTGAGCCTGCCCTCTCCATTCACCTTCCAACAAACTCACTCTCTCTCTCCCTCTTGGTTACAGAGGTTGAAATAAGACGCAGATAAGGAGAACTTCACTAAATAGAAGAGAAAAGGAGTCAGCCCCCTTTTTGTGGAAGCAGAAGGAAAATTACAGTAATTCCGATATTATTCCAAGGTTGGGATTGTGTATGACAGCTGAGGGGATATTGCGAGGGGGTTTTAGGAATGAGCCAGAAGATTAGATAAGAGAACATGCTTTCACATTCTGAGTCTAACTTGCGAGGCGGAAGGTTGTTGCCTGTTTGTTGCATCGTACAATATGTTGTTCATTTTCAGATTAATTTCTTGGACATTTTTTCCGTATGTGTGGTCTTCCTTAAGTCATTGATAGTGATGGAGGAATTCAATGCTTTTGCTTGTAAACTGCATTTCTTGAAACAACAGTATTGTTTTGGTAAATTTGCAGCTTGCAGTCTGTCTAAAACACAGTCTATTTAAAATATAATGAAACTGTTTATATGTTAGGACCCACATCTTTACTTTTGTAAGAGTATTTAGACATCAGAAGCAGTTTTATGCCAAGCATGATGGAAAACACGACAATTATCCTCTCTAAAATGTCAAATTTTTTGAAGTAGATATGTTATTGGAAACAAGAAATGTCTACTGTTGAGTTACTCATGAATTTGAAAGCTGAACATTTGCATGTTGTGGTTTTGGCACTAAAAGTAACCCATGTGCTGTTCTCGATCATTGGCATATTGTGATTTTCCAGAACATCTTTGCGTTCTTCTCTACTATATCAAACACAATGCTTTCTTGGCATAATCTTCTAAATAATATCCCTTAAATTGGATAATTTCAACCATGTTATTCATTTTTAAGTGGAACAGTGCAGGACTGTAAATCAAATCTAATCCAATATAGTCATTTTAGTTCCAGCATCATAAATATCTGGGGGGGGAAAAAAAACTTGAACACTACAAAATGGAGAGTTTTTTTGTGCATATACAACATTTGGTTATTATAATGTAATTGTGATAAATGTCATACACTGTAAAAAGTAATACCTAGATCTAACTTATAAAAAGTGAGGCAAGTGGCTGCATTGGATGTTTTAAGTTGAGTCAACTTGCAGCCTTTTTTAAGTATAATAAACACTGTAACATTACTTAATACGAATGCAACAAAATCAATTTGCTCAACTTACCGTGTTAATCAGTCCCTGAAATTCAGATCCGCTGCAGCGAACAAACAGTTGAAGTGCCGAGGAAGATGCTGCATCTGCCTGGGAAAGTCCCCGCCAGTGAAAAAGGGATAATGCCAACTTATAAAAATTTTAAAATATTTACGTTTGATGAACACACTTGCCACATCGACAGCTGCTCAAATAAATTGTGTATGTTAACTCACTTTTATAACATTTCTTGTACACAACAACCACATACAAATAACTACCCAAATAAATTGCAATAGTTTTATTTAAAATATATTGTTATATAAAATCTGATATATTTTAAGTAAAGAGGAAGTATATTGATACTTTTTAGTATAAAACAAATAAAATAAACTAGATTACAACTATTTAAAGTATATAAAACCTACTTTGTGGGTGTAGCACTTTTTACAGTGTACAGTGTCAGGGTAAAATCTAAGGAATCTAATGCATAGTGACCCTTATATAGTTCAAGAATAGTTATCCCATATGAAAATGTTCTGTCAAACCCATTTGGTTTCATTATTCTGTGGAATAGTGTATACTTTTGAGTAACCTTTTTGTAATAACATTTTCTATACAACGTCTTCAGAAGTTTATGGTGACCAAATCTGCCAAAACAAAAGGGGGTGATAAATAAGAGTCCATGTAATTTGTGTGCTATATTCTAAGTGTTCTGAAGCCATATGATGTTGTTGGCACAGACCAAAGTTTATTTTTTATATAAAATGTATCTAAAATTTACTAATAACTCTCCAGTGAGATGTTAACTCAAGAACTGCTGCAACAAGACTGTGTTGTCTCAAAATCTGGACCAGTCTGATTCTTGAGTGTTCGGTTTGGTTCCTCACACAAAGCTGAACTACATTTGTAGGACTTTTTTTGTCATTTTTGGAGTTCAAAGTAGTTTGTGCGAGAAGATTGATTGATTGATTGATTGATTGATTGACTGATTTGCACAGCAGGATAGAAGTCATACAGGTTTGTAACAACATGAGGGTGAGTGAACAATGACTGTTGTTGGGTCAACGATTTTTTTAATTTGGTAGGTAGGTCTTGAATGAACAATCTCTGTTCTTTACACCCACAGAGCTACAGAGCTTCCAACATCTGAAATTCTGAGAAGTATACGCCCACGTCTTCTTGGATTCATTCTCATCACTGTCAGCATGTTCTTCAAACCCACCTAAGCTTCGCAGGAAGCAAATTAAACACGTCTCCTTATTCAACACCCTCAGTAATCAAACCCTCAAGTGAAGAAAATTTGATCTGGACTTGGTCTAGGTCCTCAAATACAGCCAATTCTTTAGGAAACACAGTGCAGACTAAGCCCACCTGCTGATAATCACCTGCCAGACCAGCTCCTAGCTTGACGAATGCTACATCTGGGAATCCCGTGGCCATAATTGATGCGTTAACAATTGGAAGACTGGGAGAATCCTGCTGTAAGTAATGGGTATCCTCCCACAGGGCTTCTTGTAATTGAAAGGTACAGCTGGACTCCTAATACTTCATATTCTGTTGGCTTGGGAAAACGGCAACAAAGGCACAACCATGAAGCGAGGGCTATGTTTGTTTCCTGAGTGGGAAAAAAAATCAGCAGTGAGGTGTCATTGCAAGCATGATGAATTGCAGTGTGGTTATGTAGTTTGGAATGCTCTAGCCAACTATTATCAAATGAGGAAATTGTGGAAAACACTGAAAAGCATGCTAGAAACACAGAACGTATACCACGTCATTCATAAATAAGACGATTTTTTGAAGAAAGAGAGTTTACTGTATGGAACAAAAGTAGTCTACCAAGTAAAGCAGACCTTCATGCAGTTCAGCAAAAGTGTTTACGTGGATTGCCTATATAAACATGTAGCATGGTTTTCTTCCTTTATAAAAATTGTGCGCAGCCATTAAAAGTTTGCTGGCCTTGTAATTTAAAGGGTTAGTTCACCCCAAAATGAAAATTCTGTCATTAATTACTCACCCTCATGTCGTTCCAAACCCGTAAGACCTTCGTTCATCTTCGGAACACAAATTAAGATATTTTTTATGAAATGTGAGAGCTCTCAGACCCTGCATAGACAGCAAAGCAGCTGTAATGTTCCCAGGTCCAGAAACGTAGTAAGGACATCGATAAAACAGTCCATGTGACATCAGTGGCTCAACTTCAGTTTTGTGAAGCTACGAGAATACTTTTTGAGTGCAAAGAAAACAAAATAACATAATTTATTTAACAATTCTTCTCCCCCGAGTTACGTCTTCTGCCATTTTGGAGAATACCCAAGAGTGTAATCAACGTAATCAGCGTTGTTAACGTTCGGGGGAGAAAGTGCGCGCATGAACGTAATCTGCGCAATCAGCGTTGTTTACGCTTAGCAAAAGCGTGCATATGCATTTGGGTACTCTCTAAAATGGCGGAAGACGTAACTCGGGGGAGAAGAATTGTTGAAAATTGTTTTATTTTTGTTTACTGTACTTGCGTTTTACCGATGTCCTTACTACGTTTCTGGACCTGGGAACATTACAGTTGCGTTGCTGTCTATGCAGGGTCTGAGAGCTCTCACATTTCATCAAAAATATCTTAATTTGTGTTCCGAAGATGAACGAAGGTCTTACGGGTTTGGAACGACATGAGGGTGAGTAATTAATGACAGAATTTTCATTTTGGGGTGAACTAACCCTTTAAGGTCATTTCTGCTTAATAATATGAGAAAGACATTTCATACCACTAAAGCAATACATAATACAGTCCGCTGTTTTTACGTCTTTGTTTTAGTTGAACCACTTTGAACTTTGGCTAAATAAATGACCTCTCTTTGTTTTGGCAGGCTATGTCGGTAGCACTGTAATGGTTTATAATTCCATGCAATAAACGGCAATTAACATGATCACTTCTGCAGTGTGCCTGGGAGATTAGTGTGGTGTGTATAGCAGCAACAAGTGATTATGCTGACAGAGAGACGGAGGGACAGAGGCAATAAGAATTTCCATGGAAGGAATTGGTGAAATGTTTTGAGAGGGAACACCATCTAGCCGTATGAGTGTGTACGGTCTCGTGCACAGAGAGAAGGCAACGGAACACTACTGGAAGACAAGCCTGAGACTCCGTCACGTAGTCTGAGAAACGGCTGTTGCACAAAGTGAAAAGCCAGTTTTGTTCTAGGAAAATATTTGTCATTCAAGTAGTTTCCAGTGTATTGTTGCTTCACAATTATGTCATTACAAATATTAGTGCCAGACGGGATAACAAACCGTTACTTTCACAGCAGTCAAGGGTCATTATTCGGAAGCTTAGAGAGTCATGGCTTCACATATCTATGCTCTACATTTATACATAGATGACACCTTGTCATGATGCCTAGCACAATGAAAGTAGCAAGTCCTCAATCTTATAGGATAGTTCTTCCTGGTTCTTCTCAATGTGGCACTATTTTTGCAATCAAGTCCTTTTGTTTCTGCCGCTCAGAACTTGTGAATCAGTCACTCTTTTGGAAGGGTTCTTTTGGGTTGCAAGTGTTTTGTACTATTTAAATATTTAAGTATCATTCGTCTTGTACTTTGGGATGAAAATAAGACTATTATGATGCAGAAGACAGATTCACACTGCTGAGTCAAGCGGGTATGGAGTGGAGCAACAACAATTTCCCTGCCCCACTCAAAGCGTCCTGTAATCACTCAGCTGCTGCTCCACTCGGGGTTTTTGGATTTCCTTGATCAAAAAAAC